ACAAATTACTGCAGCTAAAGGATGTTGCCTTCCCCCCTCGTCAAGCTGCGGTTGGAGAATGTAATGTCTACAAGATTATGGTTTGATAACTGGTCTCCTTTTGGAAGCTTATCAACTTATCTTGCCAACTTTTCTTCTAGGCTTGGTATCTCAGAAAAAGCTTCGGTTGCTTCTCTCTATAGGAATGGAACCTGGCGACTTCCTCCTGCAAGGACAGAAGAACAAGTTCAGCTTCATATATATCTGAATACTATCATACTCACTCAAAATCATGATTACACTGAATGGGACTTGGCAGGTAAAACTACTCTAAACTACAGTACATGGGATGTTTATACTTACTTTCGAGGGAACATCAATGAGGTTAGTTGGGCGAAAAGAGTCTGGTCTGCTTATAAAATACCACGGCATAGCTTCTTGGTTTGGTTGGTGATTCAGAACAGATGCCCAACTAAAGATAGATTACTAGGTTAGGGTCTACAAGTTTCTCCTCTTTGTATTCTCTATAATTCCTCTCTGGAATCACGTAACCACTTGTTCCATGAATGCTCCTACAACTATGATCTATTGTAGCTAAGTGCAATGAGATGTGCACTGCTTCCAAGCGGGGATTGCAACGACACTGTCGCTCAGATGATTGGTCTTCCTCAAAGAAAATCACGTCGACCCACAACACTACTCACTCTCCTAGCCTGAAAATCGACTATCTACTGGACATGGAATGAGAGAAACTCTCGTCTGCACTCAAATACTTTCAGATCGGTGGATGCAGTTTTCAAAATTATAGATCGCCAGAAATAAGATTCAGAGTTTTAGAGAAATAAACATGGTTCTCTGCTCCGCGATGATGCAAGCCTGGATTGCAAGTTCTTAGTCATCACCGTTCTGCTCCTCCAACTATTGGCTAATCTCCTATTCGTAATCTCCGTCAACGAAACTCTCGTCGATTTCATTCTAGAACTTCTTCTTAACTTGTTGGGTTCAATTCTAAAAAGGTTCTACTATTATGAGTTTCAAAAATGGGATGGGCGCTTGTAACTAAAGCTATAAGCTTGTAAACTCTTTGTTTTCTTTTAATTTAAGAAAGCCTAAATTACAAAAATAAAAATCTATTTGCATTTTTTTAAAAATAAAATTAATTTATAATTGTGGAAAATTTGAAAATAGAATGTATATATATATATCAATGTTTATTATATTTTCTGAATATATGTAAAACACATAAATATACATTAAACAAAAAAACAGAAATAGTATTTTTAAAATAAGGGGTTATATTATGTGGATTGTTTTAACTGTTTAGACTACTAGTATTTTATAAACTTTTTAGAATAATAATTTTGGCACATAACAGTAATAAATAGGGAATATAACTTAACAAAGAGAACTAGTAAATTATTATTAGCTTTAGCTGCACCAATTATAACTCATCTACACATTAATAATATATTATTAATTACCTAAACTATATCCTTAACATAACAATGGGAAAATGAACATTTTATTCCTCAAATATTTTAAATCAGCAAGTTTAATATTGAAGTATTGCTCGCATGTTTTTAATCTTCAACTAAACGTTGACTTGGCAAATTAATGATTAAAATAGTCAAACGTGAAGTTATTAACTGCACCATTAGTAATACACCATTTGCTCTTCTGAAACTTAAACTTCCTAAACAGAGATGATTCCCGAGGAGCGAAGGCAATTTCCGGCGAGACAAACACTACAAGATTGGGTTTATGTTGTTTTATGTGATTTACGTATGTATAACAAGTTTATAAGATTTCATAAAGAAATTGTCTAACAAATATATATATATATATATATATATATATATATATATGTGTGTGTGTGTGTGTGTGTGTGTGTGTGTGTGATGAATTAATCTTTGAAATACCCACACATGCTCTTGTCAAAATCTATATGCGAAGCTATTAGAAAAATGAAGCCGTAAACGATGCAAAATGGAAGAAAGATGACTTTTTCTCGGTTTTTTTGCATATTTCTTTCGTTGATGACGTACATGTGTTCAAATATAAGAGATGTGTTAGTACAGTGTTAGTACAGTGAGGGTAATAGTAGGAACATTAACATGTTTATGTGTTGTAAAAACCTCTCTGCACTTTATAAGTTTTCTCAATCCTGGGTTTTAACTTCACTAACATTGTGAAAAGTTTACAATTGTCTTTAACAGACATCAACATAAACTAAAAAGTAACAATAACATTATCATAGACTCAAGTACGAGCAAACATCTCTGGACCAGTCATACAAACCCTACTAAATTAAAGACCTTCACGGTGGCAAAAAATCAGAACCAAACACTCTAAACTTTCCAAAACATACTAACGAATATCACAGATCATTAACGTTAATCAGTTTGTATTAACATGAGACAGTTGTCCTCTTTGACAGCGAAAGATACGAGTTCAGTGGCTTCTATGCATTCTCATTCTCAACTTCAAGCCTCATTGTACCTTGAACATGTCTATCCTCATAATTGCCTAGCTTTACAGTTTCTCCCAGCTTCATAGGATCAACTACACATACAACAACAACAACAACAACAACAAAAAGGAATCAATCCTATCAGTTCACAGTAGGCCACATGGAATTCCACAGTAACCGGTACAATACTAACTTGTTTACATGAAAAACTATGAATGTTCTGGAATCATGTACCACCCAACATAGAACCAAGAAAATTTCACAATATTATTGGCAAGATGAAGTACGTTTTACTGCTCCGTCATATTCCAATTTTCGGAATGATATTACAAAAACATCAAAGACATCACTACAATGAAGACTAAACGCTAGTCTTGAGCACATTTCCACATTAAAATGTCTTCCCATTTTCAGACAAGATGATAGCTTTTTGTAAGAAGTTTATCTCACAAGGGTAGATACATCATCCTAAAGTAATAGAAAAGTGGGAGTAACCTTGATTGTTACTAGTTACTAGCAGTGAAGAGAATACACACGGTTTCATCTATGATGAGGCACTCAACGGTTTAGACTGAGACTAACGTCTCATAGAACTTCCCGAATAGCCATCTGGGTACGTAGTTGATGTTCTTCTTAGTGTATTGCCAGATTCTTTTTAATGATTCTGTTTTTCTCGATATTCTTATTAATGTTTTGCAAGATTTTATCTCTCATCGCTGGAAGTCACTTCCTCCGCTCATTGGGAATCACCTCTGTTTAGCGAATTTCAAATTTCAGAAGAGAAATGCGTATAATACTAACGGCGCAGTTAGTAAGTCAACATCTAACTACTTTTTATCATTAATTTACCAAATCAACGTTTAATTGGAGATTAAAACCAAGCAAGCAATACTTCAGTATTAAACTTGCTGATTTAAGATAGTTGGGAAATAAAATGCTTATTATCCCACATAGCAATATACCACATTATATGATTAGCACTATACTCATGATTTACTGTAAAATAAAATAAAAAATGATTGAGCATTTTATTTGTTTCAAAAAAAAATTGATTGTTGGAATCCTAGAATCTAGTATCAAAAAATCTCGACATGATTCAAATAAAATATTGATCATAAACAATTTAATCCATCTAAACCAATTAAAATCAATTAAAATTATATATCACTTAAGTTGTATTAGGGCATCTTCAATCTATCTTCATTTTCTACTTAAAAATGGAGTAAAAGTGATTATGAAATAAAAAATGCTTCAACCCCATTTCATATCTTACTTCATAATAAGATTTACTCTATAAATAGAGTAATCTATAATCTGTTTATTCAATACTCCATTATGAACTTAGAAATAGAGTGAGATTGGAGTATTTTTACCCCATAATCTATATTACTCCATTTTAGAGTTAAAAATAGAGTTTCCATTGGAGATGCTCTTAGATGGGTTTTTTATTTGAAGTAGATTGGTTTTCCGAAATATATAATAATTGTTCGTTTACATTTGCAGTTATGTAAATTACATATTTGGTGTAATTGGAATTAGTCAAATACATTAATCTATATAGAACAATGGCTATGATGACAAATAATTGATATATGCAAACCATAATTTTATTTACATTAACAGTTTCTGAACTGTGAAACACATTAAAGATTTTTATTGATGAAAGAAATAATTATTATATTAAAACAGAAATCATAATTCATTTTATGTGTGATTTCTTAATTTTAACCATACTTAGAAAGTTTTTAACATTTTACATAACATCATTATATAATATATTACCATATATTTAATTTTATTTGAAATACAAAAAATATTTTTAAGAAAATTCTATGTAGGATCTTTTAGAATTTTTAAAAATATATTTTCAAAAATTAGTTAATTAAAATTTATTATTAGAAAATATAGTTAAAAATATTCATTTTTCTTTAAAATAAATCATGTAAAATAATTTTTAAAATATTTTAAAATTTTGCTTCTCTATTCTGTATGCCCAACTTAATTTAATTTCCACAGATATTTCAAATTTAGAAATAAAACAATATTACCATTACATAATAATAATTTTGTAACTTGCTACAAAAATACAAATTTATAAATTTTATGGTAATATTGTAAGACACATAAAAATTATTATAAAGTTAGACAATATATAATATATTAATAATTTGTATTATATAACCTAAAAAGCTTATGTGTAGAGTGCAAATACTCTAAAAAATATCCATACAAAGACTTGTTTTGGTCAGCGAAAAGACTTTTCTTTGTTTCACTGCTCTGCTGTTCAATGCGACATAACTTCGAGTGTAATCATCTCTCTCTCTCTCCACTCCCTAGATCTGTGATTGCAAATGCAAGTTTCTCACCAAATCGAACATTCCAGAGAAACTTAATCCCCACCTTCTTCTTTTTCTTCTTCTTCCGACCCTTAAATCAAAGTTTCCATCTTTGTCCTAAAACCAACTTGTCGGGACTCCCAAGTTCCTGTCCTTTTTCTCCCAATTTTTCCTTCCGACCAAACACTTCTTCTTCCGGGTCTGTTAATGTCACTATGAAAACACTAAATCTCCTCACTTTACTCCTCTTCTCCTCTCTCTTCTCCTCCTCTTCCCCAATACTCGCCGCCTTCTCGGAGTTAGGTTACTCAACGGTCTACGAATCATCGGAAACACTCAACGGCGAATCCAACTCCTCCCCGAAGATCAGCTACGATCGGATCATCGACGTCAGAAGAAACTGCAAATCAGTCTTATCCTCCGCCTCGGAGCTAAACATCGACTCAATCTCCAGAGATCTCCGCAAAGCCAAGAAAAGCCTCTCCTTTCGCTACGGTGACTGGTCTCAACCCCCCTCCGACGACTCTCCGATCCTCCCCTTCGACTCAACCAACACCACCACATCATCAAAAGCAACAACAAACCCTCTGAATCTTGTCTCCTTCCGCGTCACAGATCTAGATCTCCCTCACCGAACGAAACGATACGTCGGCGTCAACGGCGTCCTTCTCTTGGCGATCACAACGTTCAACGACTTAACCTCGAGAGGAGCACGCGAGTTCGAGCTCTGGCCGAGTCATACTCAGCTTAAAATTAATTTCCAAGGAGTTTACGTTGAGAATGAGAATGATAAGGAGCGTGTCTTGTGTATGCTTGGTGAGACTATGCTTCCTTCTCGTGAGTCTAACTCTCCTTCTGATCGATGGAAATGGGTTAAGGAGCATGACACGCCTCCTCTTCTTCAAGATGATCAGATTCGTCTCATTCTTCGTTACCCTAAAGACTTCACTCTGACCAAAAGAAAGATACAAGGAGAGGTTAAGAGCTTGAACGACAAGTCTAACCTTAAGTACTTTGACAAGATTAGTATCTCTTCTCAGTTAAGTAAGTCTGTTCAGTACAGTTTCGTCTCTGATGAGTTAGTATCAAAGGCTTGTGATAAAGTTAGTACTACTATTAGTGGAATTGATGATGTCTATAAAGGGAAAGGTTTCTGTAACCTTCTTGAAAGAGTTGTTTCTAATACGCCTCTTACTGTCTTACCTAACTGGAAATGTAACGGGACTGATGAGTTCTGCAGTAAGTTAGGTCCGTTTGCATCTGATGGAGACATCAAATTAACTGATGGTGGGTTCAAAGACGTGAAGCTTTATATGCAGAACATACATTGTCAAGAGAAGTCTGAAGCTGTGACACAAGTCTCTGCTGTGTTCCGAGCCGTTCATCCTAATGAGAATCTTTACCTCTCAGGGATGAGATCAGGGCTTGATAATATGACTGTTACTGCCGAAGGGGTTTGGAAACAGTCGAGCGGGGAGTTATGTATGGTTGCTTGTAGGCGTGGTGAGGCTGATGGGTGTAATGCTCGTGTGTGTTTGTATATACCAACGATGTTTTCGATACGGCAGAGGAGTATACTCGTTGGGACGTTCTCTTCTCTTAACACGGAGAAGAATCTGACTCCTTCTTTCTTCCCTTTGGCGTTTGAGAAGCTTGTGGAGCCTATGGATATGCAGAACTACTTCCAGTCTTCTTTGGTTTCGCATCCGGTTTATCGGTACTCGAAGACGGATGAAGCTGGGAGTATCCTTGAGAGGAACCAGGAGTTCTCTTTCACAACTATAATCAAGAAGTCTGTAATGAAGTTTCCTAAGTTGGAAGACTCTGAGGATTCTCTTTCTAGCTTGTCTCTTCTAGCTGAGGATTTGACTTTCCATACACCTGCTTTTACGGAGAAGAAGACATTAGGGACAAACTTTGGGATGGATGTTCTTTCTCTTGGTCCTTTGTTCGGACTCTTCTGGAGGAGTTCTAATGATTCCATAGAGGAACAGACTCCTTACAGGACAAAAGATCAGTACACTGAGAAGCAGCTTCTTCTGAATGTCTCAGCTCAAATCTCACTTACGAATGATGCTTTTGGTAACTTCTCTAAGATCTACTTAGAAGGTCTGTACGACGAGCATACAGGGAGAATGTATCTTGTGGGATGCAGAGACGTGAGAGCCTCATGGGAAGTCTTGTCCGCGAGTGGTGATCTTGAAGCGGGGTTAGATTGTTTGGTAGACGTTGTGGTTTCTTATCCTCCAATCAAGTCAAGATGGTTAGCTGATCCAACGGCTAAGGTTTCAATATCCAGCAGAAGACCAGACGATGATCCACTCTATTTTAAACCGTTGAAGCTCAAGACAACACCTATCTTTTACAGAAGGCAGCGTGAAGACATTCTTTCACGTGCAGGTGTTGAAGGGATCCTCAGGGTTCTAACGCTTACTTTCTCTATTGGTTGCATCACTAGCCAGCTCTTTTACTTCAGAACCAAAACAGATTCGGTTCCTTTCGTTTCGCTTGTGATGCTTGGAGTTCAAGCTCTTGGTTATAGCTTGCCGTTGATCACTGGCGCAGAAGCTCTCTTTAAAAGAAAAGAAGCTTCTGGAACAATGTATGCAACACCTTCTTATGATCTACAGAGAAGTCAGTGGTTTAATGTGATTGATTACACTGTGAAGCTCCTTGTGATGGTTTGCTTTCTACTAACTCTAAGGCTTTGTCAGAAAGTGTGGAAGTCTCGTGTCAGAATGCTCACTAGAACACCTCAAGTTCCAAGTGATCGGCGTGTGTTTTTCGTTGCCTTGTTCTTACACGCACTAGGTTACATACTTGCTTTGGTTCTTCATCCAGCAAGGACAGAGAGGTTTACTCAAGTGTATGGAACTGCAGCTACAAACTGGTGGCAAACCGAAACAGAGGAGTACATTGGTTTGGTTCAAGACTTCTTCTTACTTCCTCAGGTTATTGCTAACTTTATATGGCAGATTGATTCAAAGCAACCGCTAAGGAAGCTGTATTACTTGGGAATCACGCTAGTGAGGCTTTTCCCTCACGTCTATGACTACATGGTCGGCTCTGTTCCTGATCCTTACTTCATTGGAGAAGAACATGAGTTTGTTAATCCGAATCTCGATTTCTTCTCCACGTTTGGGGATGTAGCTATACCGGTCACCGCGATTTTACTTGCAGTCATTGTGTTTGTTCAGCAGAGATGGGACTATGACAAGCTTTCTCAAGCTTTATCCTTTGGTCGGTTTAGGATTCTACCTTCTAGATCTGTTAAGTACGAGAGAGTAATGTCTGAATCAGAGATGGTTTCTGGAGTCCGTGCCAATGGAAACCACAGTGATAATGAAGAATGAGTTTTTTTGTTTCTTGATGTTGTTGTACTTATATTGTTGTCTTGATTCCATACCAAGAAATGGATCATGTCTTTGTGACCTACCATGTAACTATATATATTATTACACTTACTTTTCTCTTGTTAGATTATTGCATTTCTAAAAGTGGCTAGAGGATCTCCTAGAATCAACCATCTACTATTTGCAGAAGACACACGACACTATGTTCTTCACCAACGTCTCCGAACAGAGCAGTAAGGCACTCAAGGATATCCTATTGCGGTATGAAGCGGCCTCTGGACAGCTCATCAACACTACCAAATCGTCAATCTCTTTCTCACGTCGAATCCTGGCACAGCTAAAAGGAAAAGTACAAGATATCCTGCAGATACCTAATGAGGGAGGGGTCGGAAAGTATGTTGGACTCCCGGAACATTTTCGACGAAAGAAAAAAGATCTATTTGCGTCAATAGTTGATAAGATTAAGCAAAAAGCCAAAAGCTGGACAAACAGGTTCCTATCTTCTGTTGGGAAGATGATCATGGTCAAAAGTGTCCTATCGGCGATGCCTTCTCATGCAATGACGTGTTTCAAACTTCTTGTCTTGCTTTGCAATCAGATACAATCCACGGTGACCAGATTCTGGTGGGATTCCAACTCAGGGACGAAAAAGATGGCCTGGGTTTCCTCGGATGAAATGGCGCAGTCAAAAACCAACAGAGGACTTAGATTTCGAGATTTTGAATGTTTCAACGACGCCTTTCTCGCTAAACTGAGCTGGAGACTGTTAACCAATCCTAACTGTCTGCTGGCAAGAACTCTGTTAGGAAAATATTGTCAGCATGAGGATTTCACTAAAGTCTCGGAAGGATCAGCGATTTCCCATGGATGGAGGAGAGTACTGATAGGACGCGATCTTCTGATGAAGAACATGGGCTTGGCAGTTAGTGATAGTAGACCGATAAAAGATATGGCAAGACCCCTGGCTTAGTACAACTCGCCAACTCCGACCTATGGGACCATCTCCTGAAAATTCGCAAGACTTGGTGGTGGCAGACTTGTTTCATGAGAACACACATGATTGGAACCACGCTTTAGTCCAACTTGAGTTCCCGGAACTTATGGACACAATTCTAAGAATCAAACCAAGAATGGGGCACCAGATAAGCGTTTCTGGATCCACTCAAAGGATGGAGTTTACTCAACAAAGTCTGGATATATTGCCGCAGTGGAGCACCAAAATGAAGCTAGAGACAGAAATCTCTGTGATACAACGACAAACTGGAATAAGGGAGTATGGAATCTGAAAACTGCCCCTAAGATTCAACTACTGATCTGGAAGGTGCTGAGAGGGGATTTACCAGTAGGAGAGCAAATGCAAATTAGACAGCTTCGCGTTGATCCGCTCTGTAAGCGATGTGGAAAACTTGAATCTATTAATCATCTCATTTTTCAATGTGATTTCGCTGTGAAAGTCTGGAAGGAAGCACCTTTCACTCACCAAGTTGATATGAGAGGATCATTAGATTTAGAGAATGACTGGTTGAGAATGCAAGAGCTGTGTTGTGTACCTCTTGTGGGCATCTCTACTTGCCCGCTTGCTCCATGGATATTATGGGCTTTATGGACTGCTAGAAACAACCTGATATTCAATGATAAAGGATTTACTATTGAGCAGGTCCTAACTAAAGCTATTGTTGCGGCTAAGGAATGGCAAAATGCTCAAGGTAGAGAAGCCCCACATGTTCCAGTGAGAAGACAGCCGGAACCCCAACCATGTTATGATGTAGTTTTACAGACGAATGCTGCTTGGAGTGAAGGTTCTGGAAGAGCGGGACGAGGCTGGATAATCAAACAGAGGGTACTCAGAGGTTTCAAAACACTAACTCCTTTGTAAGCTCGCCACTGGTAGCTGAAGGTCTTGCCATGAGGGAAGCAGTTAGAAAATGTAAGGAGCTGGGGATCCGGCAATTCAGAGTAGAGTCTGATTCGTCACAGCTGCTGATAAATGCTCTGAACTCGAAGATGGAGCCGCCAGAGCTCTATGGAATTTTAGCGGACATCCGCATTGATTGTATTGCTTTTGAGTCTGTTACTTTTTATTGGATACCTTGTTTGAGGAACCTGGATGCTGATCGCTTAGCGAAACAAGCTTTGAACTATGTAGCAGTGTCTACTGCTTAACTTCTCTGTTTTATAAAAATTGTGTTCCAAAAAAAAGAGATTATTGCATTTCTCACATACTCCCTCCATTACATAAAAATGTATGTTTAAAAAAAAGTTATTTCAAAAAGATAACATCTTTTGCATTTTCAACACATTGTTATCAACTAATAACATGATTAACTGTAAACTTTAAACACATATTTATCATCCAAAATTTAACATATATTATTAATATGTATGAAATTTCAAAACATATATTATTTTGAAACAGATGGAATATAAGATACATAAGTGATTCAAATACCACAATAGGCTTTGATAGGACACACTGATTTGTAACCTATGTCAGTACGATAAAAACGAAGCAGACCAATATGATCAAATGGCTTATACTTAAGAGGATGTTGATGATCAATAAGCTCTTCTGGCACTTGAAGTGTTCCATTGTTGAATGAAAACATTCCAAGAGAGTATCGGTCTGTGTCACCGCTCACTAGCACTTGGTGTCTTGGAGACCAAACCCTATCATTGCTCCATGCCTAAAGGGTATATACACTTAATTAGGTTAGTCCAAACTATGTTTGTATCAACTATACGTTTGTAAATTTGTATATTATAACCTAACTTTACGTACCATCAATGCATCGCCAGCAACGATCATGAAGAGTGAAGGTGACGATAGGTTGATATTGATTCTCTCTCCTTCCCTGGTTTCCATTTCTAGACCATTAACTTGATTCTGGTGAAGTATAGTTGTGAAGCTCTTGTCTGTATGTGTGACAAAACCTAAACTAGGGTTTTTGTTGTTTGGTGCACGATTTTTCAGCACGCGGAGAAGGTAAGTGGTTGATTCAATGTATGGTTTGTAGTGTTTCTCGACGTTATAGCTTTCAAAAACCATCCGAGTCACCATTTGATCAAGCCTGGCTGCAAACTCCGCATACTTGTGTACACATTCACTAACAAAAACCACATTGAAGATTATCAAAAAAGTAAGAGTTGAGGATTCAAACTTGATAGATTTTTTTTTTTTTTTGATAAATATGTGGGTATCATTAAAATGAGGTGGATTGTACATGTACAAGGTTCAAAGCGGCTAAGCCAATCGTTGCTGAATGGCTCATTAAATCAGTTATAACTTGATAGATCTTTCTATACATACCTGAAGTTTTCGTTTCCTTGTGGCCACATCAAACCGGTGAAGCTTCTAGTTGCTTCAAAAGAAGTGGCATCATCAATGCCAAGACTTTCATGAAGAGGAAGAGCTGGAATCTGACCAACATACCCATTTAAAGGCTTATCGTATTTGTTCTTCATTTTGGTTTGTGTCGGGAGATCAAACAACTCGACCAAAGAACCAAAGACTTGGTCAAGAAGATCTAAAGGAGTCTTGTCTTGAAGATCTATGACGAAACATCCATATTCTTCAAGTGCTTGTCTTATGTTTTTGCTTGTTGATTCCCAATACTTTGTTCCTGGTTCCAAATCTTCTCTTGAGAAATCTAAGGTAGGGATTTTAGATGACATTTTTGGTTGTTATATTTTCAAGATTTATGTGTGTTTTTCATGGATAATCTCTTATGCATATATATAATCTCAAACAAATGTATGGAATTAACTTCTAAGATAAAAAAAAAATACTTTGGATGTACATTATAAGACAAATGTTGAAGGGATCTTGCTTCTTAGTTTTCAGTTATTCGTTTTAGAGTATAAACAAAACATCGCTATATTGATACTAGTTGGTCACCAGAATATATGGACCACGTTATATATTAATATTTACTAGTCATCAAAATTGTTGGACCACATATAAACTAAGATATCCAATTAGATTTCGGTTTACATTTTCCAGAAATCTGGTTTTATATATAGCATAGAACGACTTGGTACGGTTTCGGTTTTGGGTCAGATTTGCGGTATGATCAAATGTGTTAATATATTTTTGCAAGAAAAACAAAGCTAGGGTAAAAAAAGTAAGATAGGTTTCGCTTTTTGTGTATATTTTATTCTGAAATTTTAATATAGAAAAAGATTTACCATTTTATTTTATCAGGACTGAACGCCCTAATTATATGAAGTCATATGATTATCTGTTAATAAATTGTCTATAAATTATATAAGTTGGTGTTGACAAATTCAAGAAGATCAAGTTAGAAACAAAACATCCAAAATGGGAACAACCGTGAAGTCTTCTTCTAAAGTTCCAGTTCTTGATCTCACGAGCCGACAGGACTTGAAACCAAACACGTCCACGTGGCGTTCCATTTCCAGAGAAGCCTGTGAAGCCCTGGAGGAATACGGGTGTTTTGTGGCTTTGTACGACGGAGTAACGCAGCAGCTAGACGATTCCGTCTTCGCCGAGGCTGAGGAACTGTTTGATCTCCCGACGGAGACAAAGAGGAAGAACGTGAACGAGAAGCCGTACCATGGCTACGTTGGTCAAATGCCTGTGATCCCTCTTCATGAAGGTCTTGGAATTGACTATGTTACAAACAAAGAAGAGGCTCAAAGATTCACTCATCTCATGTGGCCTCAAGGAAACCACCAGTTTTGGTATGTTGAGAGCATCCGGTTTATGGTTTGGCACCGGTCCTAAAATTTCGGGACAAAAATAACTTACTAAATATTTTTTATAAATTTGTTTTATAAACAATTTAAAATTTTATATCTATGTACATATATTATTTTTTTAAAAATATTTCGCTTTTTTCTACCATGTCTTCCACCTATTTTAGTGCTTTAGGTCACGTACTCTTCAAAGTTTGATTTTTTTTTTATTTTATATTGCTTTGTTTTTGATACTCTAACTCAATAGGTTTGAAGCAAAACCATACTTATTTGCTTGAACTTAAACTATGTAGCGAAACAGCGCACGGTTTCTCAAACGCGGTTGCGGAATTGGACAGGCTAGTGGTGATGATGATATTTGAGAACTACGGTGTTGAGAAACACTATGATTTACATGTAGGATCAAAGACTTACCTACTCAAGTTTCTCAAGTACTTGGCCCCACCAGAGTCTATCTCAATGCCAGCTTTTCCTCAGCACACAGACAAGACCTTCTTATCAATACTTCACCAAAATGGTGTGAATGGTTTAGAGGTGAAATCAAAAGACGGTGAATGGATTTCTCTTCAACTCCCACCCAAGTCTTACGTTGTCATGGCTGGTGACATCTCTATGGTATTCTAAAATAATATTCAATTTACCACTTCAATTGTTTGAAAGGCAGTTTTTATGTTTACGTTTGCGTGAGAAAGTTTTGAAAAAATGAAAACTGAAACCATATTTTGTAAGTACAAAATATTCCAAATTTTTTCATATTAACTTTTACAAAACAAACGCAAAAGGAAGGAGAACAAAAGAGTTTTTCTTAAATATAAAGTTCATTTTGACAAAAAGGTTCGCTGGAAAAAGGTAACCAGTAAATATTCAGGAACTGTTTTCATAAATAGCACTTTTAAAAAATTTGTAACAAAAATGGCCTTTAAAGAGAATTTTTTTTTCAAAATAATATTTATTAATCAATAAAAACGCTAAATTAGCCTACATCCTAAACTCTTACCATAATCTCATCCCTTTAATACTAAACCTTGGTTTCTAATCACTAACCCCTAATCTCCAGTATAAAAATATATTTGTTTTTTACCTTTTAGTGAATGATATGTTAGAGATTTTTACTTGATTTAGTGCTATTTGATGGTATTTCTCCAAATTATTATGGCTCGGTTGAAAACTGCATAGTAAATTAATATAGCGAAAACAACCAAACGAGACTAACCAGCCCAAAATAGTCATTTACTTATAGCTTAATCGGTATTATGATACAACGCCATGAACATTCGTAATTGTCTAATTATATGGTTAGGGTTGGAGCAATGACAGGATACGTTCTTGTGAGCATAGAGTAACAATGGAAGGAGACAAGACAAGGTACACTTTAGGTCTTTTCTCTTTTCTAAAGGGAATGGTTTCGGTCCCTGAGGAGCTTGTGGACGACGAACATCCGCTCATGTACAAGCCGTTTGATAACATCGCTCTCATAAACTTCTATGCAACCAAAGAAGGCCGTGAAGCGAAGTCAACTCTCAAAGCTTATTGCGGTATCGAATAGTCAGACGATTGATCAAGATGACAATGTCTTTAAAATCTAAATGTTATAATAGGTTCAAACATCCATATTGTTCTAGTGCATTTTGATTATTTTGCATGTTGATTTTCAGTTTTTTTTGTGCCAGTGTTCGAATTTTCTCTTGAAAAGTATAAGATCTTATGTGTATATAAGATGAAAATAGGTTTTGTATGTTTACTTTAAAACAATGTTTCAAAGGCATCTTGGATCAATGATCCGTTTAGAGTGTGACAAAACATTATACTATTGTTATTAATTAGTCGTCATATACTCATTGGACTATACTAGACTCATTTTTAAAACATAATGGAATTAATCTTGATCTACAAGCCACGACCTGAAACCAAACACGCCCACATAGCAATCGGTTTGCAAAGATGTATGTAGAGCGTCGGAGGAATATGGTTGCTTGGTGAAACTATTTGGTCTACCAACGGAGACAAAGGATTGATGTATCCAGAAGCCGTATCATGGCAACACTAGTTAGATGCACCTTATTCCCTCGTCTAGATGGTCTTGGAATTGACTATGTTACGACTTCGAGCAAGGAAGACCTCAGAGCACACTGAATCATAGATTTATCAGCATTGCTCATCTTTACGTTTTTGACAATAAAATAATATTCCAATAAGTTAATGACAAATGTTACGAGAATATCTATAAAAATTAGCAATCGTGTTAAAGAAGAGTTCTCCCTTTCTCTCTTTTCCTATTTTTATATATTTTAATTATTTAATTATTTTTATTTGCAAAAGACTTTTTTTACAGACTCACCAATGAAGATCTTTAATTCCAGATGAATCTACTTCCACTATAGATAGCTCTTCTTAAGCACACTGATAAGAACCTTTTTGTCGATACCTTCATAATTGTTATAATGGATGGGATAAAACAATGCAAAGACATGAATAAGCACAAGAAAATGAACGATATAAAAATTTAACATGGCTCCTCAAATCAAATAAATTCACAAGTATAAAAAAAAAAAAGAGATTTTATCATTGGAAGGTGAAGGTATTTGAGATTATATTAAACTTACAAAACACAAGAAATATAAGAGTATCACAAACTGTTCCAAAAAAAGGAAAAAGAGTATCACAATTCTAAAATCGACGGACTCACGATTTTGAGAATAATAGTAAGCTGAACATCACAGCTCATACAGAAATAACATATATCCTATATGTAGTGAGATTCCCAGCTAACTGATAGTCTTACCTAATTGATTTAAGATGAATGGATTTCAATGAAAATCACACCCAAGTCATACGTCGTCATGGACGTTAAGACCACCCGCAACAAGAGATCTTTAGGAAGAATCCTTAGAAAAATATTAATTTTATAATCAATGGGTCTCATGAACAGTTAAAGATTTTAAGAATAAAATCCTTATGTAAGGATTGATCCTTACACTATTCATGGGCTCCACTGCTCACGTGTCGGTCCACGATTGGTTATATTTTTTTATTTTAAAGAAATAATCTGAAATATCATTATATAATCTGAAATGTCTTTTTTTCTTTTTTTTCTAAGGATTTCCCGTAAGGATCCCTTGTTGCGGATGCTCTAATATGAAAACCCACGAACCTTCCTAATATCTTACAACTAACTTTGTATTTATTTACAATGTAATAATTTCATAGGGATTTAACTAGGGTTGGAGAAACGACAATATCACATTCTTGTGAGAAGACACGATACAAATTAGCACTTTCCTTATTTAGATTACGGGCATGGTTTTGGTTCCTGAAGAGCTTGTGGATGATGATCATCCTCTTAAGTATAAGCCATTCGACAATCGACAGCCAGTGCCGTGTCCAGTCTACGTTCAAAGCATATTGTGGTATCTAAAAAGCATCAATGCACAGAAAGATTTATGATCAAAGTGATAAAATTAGAAGAATCTGAATGGTATCCCATTGATAAAAATGATAATGTTTTATAAATATGAATGTTATCTGATTGGCTCCGTACATACAAAGTTTCATTTTCAATAAGATAAGATAAAAAGTTCAAATCATTTATAATTATTTGAGCCAATCCGACCGTCCTTAATTTCTACATTAAAACAATAAGAGTGTCAAATTACGGTTTTTCTACATTACAAAGATTTTAAACCAAAAAGTATTGCCAGGGACAACCATAAATTTATAGTGAACTCAAAAATATGATAATATATTTTAAAGATCAAGTGGTCTTCAATACCCTATATAAGAGCACATAGAGAGACATCTAAACACACAACAAGTTTCTAAAAGAAAAGAAAAAAAAAACATGGTTAGCTTGGAAACTACTCCTGCTCTTCAGCTCCCGGTCATCGACTTCACAAGTCCAAACCTACAACCAGGAACTGTAGAATGGGACTCAGTGAGAGGCGATGTCCGAAGAGCTCTAGAAGAGTATGGATGTTTTGAGGCCTTGTTCGATAAAGTCCCTGTCGAACTTCGAAAGGCCGTTTTTGATGTTTCTGAGGAGGCTTTCCAGCTACCTTTAGAGACCAAAAAGAAAGTTGTGTCAAGGAGAAAATACAGAGGTTATGCTGGTCAGATTCCAACTTTACCTCTTTTTGAAGTATTGGGTGTTGACTTTGCAGAAAATGAAGCTAAAGTCAATGAATTTACTCATAAGCTTTGGCCCCAAGGCAATGCAAGTTTCAGGTTTAGGTTCTTAAAACCTTTTCAATTCTCATTTATTAATTCATTCTCATTACTTTGAAACCAAAAAAAAAAACTATTAAACTACTATCTTTCTACAGCGAGGCAGTCATGTCGTTTGCGGAGAAAGTGTCAGAACTGGACTTGATGACCAGGAGAATGATAATGGAGAGTTTTGGGGTCAATGAAAACTACATAGAGCAACATTTGAAGTCCACGAAAAGTCTTGTGAGAATGATGAAATACCAAGGAGTTGAAGAAACAGAAGAAGAGGAGTTAGGTATGGAGGCTCATACAGACAGAAACATGCTCACTATACTCTGTCAGAACGATGTAAAAGATGGACTAGAAGTGAGAACTAGTGATGATAAGCAATGGATCAAAGCCAATCCTTCCCAAGATTCTTCATTCATCGTTCTTGGAGGAGCTACACTACACGTAAGCTCAAAACCAAGATTCTTATTTAATTTGATATTCATGTTGTAACAAGTATGTGTTCAGGTGCTTCTTAATGGTCGGGTGCTTACTGGTGTTCACCGAGTGATGAGGATGGGAACGAACACAAGATTCTCAGCTGGACTGTTCTCTGTTCCAAAAACAGATGATATGATATGTGTGATAAGAACAGAGAAAAGGACAAACTTTGGTGATAAAGTTTCTTTGTTATTTTCTGACTGACCGCTTTACAACGTTAACCTATTACATATATAGAGAGCTGTATACAATCATAGTCATCCAGATGTCTGCTCTCTCATTGGCTCTCAATACATAGGGATTGGAATCTGTTATAAAGCAGAGGTGATGACAGCTGTTGCNATGTCTGCTCTCTCATTGGCTCTCAATACATAGGGATTGGAATCTGTTATAAAGCAGAGGTGATGACAGCTGTTGCGTAACACACCTCCTGCAACTTGTGTTTGTTGTCTTGACCATATTAGCTTCAGTCTTGGGCCTCGTCTCTACACTTTTGGCCTTATTGCAGTCTCGGCCCATATCCTGATGTCTACTGCTGATACCCCCCTGCAAACTCAAGGTGGTGGAAGGACCAACTTTGAGTTTGTCTCTCAATGTAGTGAAGGCTTGACGCGGAAGGGACTTTGTGAAAATATCAGCTGTTTGTTGAGCAGCAGAGATGTGTCTTGTCTCAACAAAACCCAACGCCACTCTTTCCCTGGTATAATGCCAATCAGTCTCGAAGTGTTTGGTACGAGCATGAAAGGAGGGGTTTATGGTAAGCTGAACAGCAGAGAGATTGTCACATTGTAACACAGCCGGAGTGGACTGTTGTATACGCAGGTCTCGAAGCAAAGATGCAATCCAGGTGAGTTCTGCACATGTCTCAGCCATGGCACGATACTCAGCCTCAGTTGAGGACCTTGAAACTGTCGTTTGTCTCTTTGCACTCCATGACACCAGATTGTCACCAAGATAGGTGCAGAAGCCAGTTGTAGATCTTCTTGTGTCTTTGCAACCAGCCCAGTCGCTGTCACTAAAAGCACTGACATTCAAGGAAACAGTCTTACAAATATGAATTCCGAAGGATGATGTACCTCTGAGATATCTGAGAAGACGTTTAAGAAGAGCAAAGTCAGACTGAGTTGGAGCATGCATTCGTTGACATACAAAGTTAACCGCGAACTGAATGTCTGGTCTGGTTAGAGTGAGGTACTGCAGTTTACCAGCCAAGCTTCTAAAGTAAGATGGTTCAGGGAAAAGCTCTGCTTTAGCATCAGTGAAAAGTTGCAGAGGTAATGGCGTTGGCATCGGGTTACAGCTTGACATGTTGGCTTGATGGAGAATGTCCTCTGCATATTTAGTTTGACTAAGAAACAAACCATCTTCAGTAGACTCAACTTGAATTCCCAAGAAGAAATGCAATGGTCCAAGATCTTTCATCGAAAACTGTTGGCTTAAGGCTTCTTTAAACTGTTGTATTAGCTCGTTGCAGCTACCAGTAAGTAAAATATCATCCACATAGAGCAAGAGAATGAGAGTCTTACCTTCATGATGGTAAACGAACAAGGAGGGATCAGCCTTTGAGCAGGTAAATCCGAACTCCAAAAGGTAGTTACTGAACTTGTCGAACCACGCTCGAGGTGCTTGCTTAAGCCCATATATAGCTTTGTCCAGTTTACAAACATGATTAGGATGAGTTGGATCAATAAACCCTGGAGGCTGAGTCATATATATGTCTTCTTTGATATCACCATGTAGAAAAGCACACTTAACATCAAGTTGAGTAAGAGACCAACCCTTTGCTGTAGCAACATTAAGAACAAGCCGGATGGTGGCAGTACGGACAACTGGGCTGAATGTTTCCCAATAATCAACTCCCTCTTCTTGATGATTGCCCTTCACTACCAACCTAGCTTTAAAGGATCGTATTGTGCCATCAGCATTGAGCTTTATTCTGTAAACCCATCCTGATCCTAGAACCTTCATAGAAGAATCAAAAGGCACCAAGTGAAATGTCTTGTTCTCTTTCTGAGTATCCATTTCTTCTATCATAGCAGTGGCCCAGCGAGGATCTTTGAGAGCAGCAGAGACTGACTTTGGTTCATGAGCTTCATGTGGATTTGTCATGAGAACATACCGAGGGTTTGGTTTTCTTATTCCTGCCTTGGCTCTAGTGGACATGGGATGAACATTCACCACAGGAGCTTGCTCTTGGTGTTGAACTTGAGCAGGACTATTGTTACCAGCTTGAACATCTGGTATATGTTGTTCTACCACTGGCTGCAGGTGAGGCTGTAGCTGAGGGTTTACAAATAAATGAGGTCGTGGTAGGAGGGAAGGAGCTGAGCACTGATCAGACTCCTTGAGAGGCACATGAGTAGCTTGTTGCCAAGAATGTAGCAAGGAACTCGGATATTGTGGAACCAGATGCTTAAACTTCTCTGCAAATGGGAAGAGATGTTCATCAAAGATAGCATGACGGGTTATATATACTCGACCAGTGGGGGGATATAGACACCTATATCCTTTGTAAGCTGCGTTGTAGCCCAAGAATACACATTGTAAAGACCTTGGTTCAAATTTGTGCGAAGCATAAGGCCGGAGACAAGGGTAACATGCACTACCAAATACACGCAAGGCTGTGTAGTTTGGTTTTTGATGGAACAGCATCTCATAAGGAGTCTGATTGTTGATACCTGTTGCAGGAAGGAGGTTGATCAGAAAGTTTGCAGTATAAAAGCCTTCAACCCAAAACTTCAGAGGTACTCTGCTATGAAACATCATAGACAGGCTTAACTCAATCAAATGTCTATGTTTTCTTTCAGCCAAACCATTCTGAGCTGGTGTATGGGGACATGACATCTGATGTTTAATACCATTAGCTGCTAACTCCATCTGAAAACCTCGACCAAGAAACTCACCCCCACCATCAGACTGAAACACTTTGATCTTCTGTCCCAACTGATTTTCAACTTGTTTGCGAAACATTGTAAAGACATTGCAGAAATCAGACTTGAGACGAAGAGGATATAACCAGCTATAACGAGAATAATCATCAACAAAAACCACATAATATTTGAAACCTTGTACAGAGTTCACAGGAGCCGGTCCCCATAAATCACAATGGATTTTGGCTAAAGGTTCAAAGGTACAAGATTCAGAAACTGAAAAAGGTAAGCGTAAGCTTTTTCCCATTTGGCAAGGTTCACAAACAGGATTCTTTCTGCTCTTATTGATAATTATTGCCTTGCTGTGTTGAAGTTGCTGGAGAATCTTGAAGCTTGCATGACCCAGTCTGTGATGCCAGAGAAAATCATCCACAGCCTGTTGTCGTGAAGAATAAAATGTTTTGAAACGTTGATTCTCCAGCACGTAGAGCCCTTCACGCCTTGGACCCTTGGTTAACACCTTGTGTGTTTGAAGATCCAGAATGTACACCTTTTTTGCATCAAAAAACACACCACAAGGATAATCCTCACATAACTTAGAGACTGATAAGAGGGGTTTTTGTACTGATGGACATACCAAAACATCAGTAAGGGGTATACTACCTGTGTTAACCGCAAGATTAGTAGAACCAACATGGGTGATTGGTAAGTGATTCCCATCTGCAACCATAATAGACTCATTACCATTGTATGTTGTTGTATGTTGCAGACCAGACGCGTTTGAAGTGATGTGAGCAGAAGCCCCGGAGTCTGGATACCATTCATTACCCGAGTTATCAGAAACCTGCAGAGCCGCTAGAGCAGCATGAGGAACATCGTTGTTCTGGTAGTTGTGATCGAATCGGTTGTAACACTTCAAAGCAGTGTGACCAAATCTGCCACATATCTGACAGGTAGGTCGTTGATTGGATGAGCTAGAAGACCCATTCTGCTGATGAAAACCTCTGCCACGCGAAGAGTAACCTCCACGACCTCTGTTGGAACCAGACCTGGAGTAAGAACCACGTCCTCGGTTGTGTTGGTTTGTTGTTTGAAACGCCATGGTTGGTGTCACCGAAGGTGTTTCATACGTCTGAAGCCGAGCATCAAACCCTTGGATCTCAAAGACAACATCTTGAAAGGTTGGGGTGGGAAGACGAGACATAGAACTCTGAACAACAGTGATTATAGCATCATATTCTCTTCCTAGACCATTAATAAACCCACAAATCTTCATCGAATCATCTACTGGCTTGCCAATGGAACTAAGTTGATCACAGATAGAAGTATACTCACGGAGGTAGACCGAAAGAGACTTGCCTTGCTTGGCAAGAAGCTGGAGTTTGCGTTTGAGCTCAAACTCACGTCCAATGGAGCTGCGGTTGTAGGTATTGGCAAGAGCAGTCCAGACTTCCAGAGATGTGGTGAGAGAGCAGACACTACCAAGAGCTTCTTCCGTGAGAGTACCAAATATCCAGGACTTAACGAGTTGATCCGTACAATACCAAGCCTCATGAGTAGGATTCGGGACGTCCTGAACAGCATCATCAACTCTTTGTTGAATCGTAAGAGGAGGAGCAAGATACCTTCCATTGACAAAACCCAAGAGCTTTTGACTGCTCAAGAGTGACTCGACTTGTGTCTTCCATAGGAGATAGTTAGTATCATTGAGCTTCAACGTTACCGAGCTTGAGACATGAATCTTCGAAGGGAAAGGATACGTTTCTGGGTAAGCCGCCATTGCTGCACCTGTTAAGGTATTACAGCTCTGATACCATGATAAGAACAGAGAAAAGGACAAACTTTGGTGATAAAGTTTCTTTGTTATTTTCTGACTGACCGCTTTACAACGTTAACCTATTACATATATAGAGAGCTGTATACAATCATAGTCATCCAGATGTCTGCTCTCTCATTGGCTCTCAATACATAGGGATTGGAATCTGTTATAAAGCAGAGGTGATGACAGCTGTTGCNATGTCTGCTCTCTCATTGGCTCTCAATACATAGGGATTGGAATCTGTTATAAAGCAGAGGTGATGACAGCTGTTGCGT